GCTTATAAAAGACAGAATGATCAGATTGGCCTTTCACCATTCCGAACCGCTCGATTACTTGGCTGAATTTGCCATACCATGCACGAGGACTTTGTTTTAGTCCGTATAAAGATTTATGCAGCCGACATACCTTCCCATTCTCCCCCTGAGCAACAAACCCTGGAGGTTGCTCCATATAAACCTCTTCCTCAAGAGCACCATGAAGAAATGCATTTTTGATATCTAATTGATGCAATGGCCAATCATGACACGCAGCCATAGAGATGACAAAGCGAACAGAAGTGAGCTTGGAAACTGGAGAGAAAGTCTCATCATAATCCACACCATAGGTTTGAGCATATCCTTTGGCCACTAGTCGAGCTTTGAGGCGAGCCACAGACCCATCTGGATTAACCTTAATAGAGAAGACCCACTTGCAACCAATAGATTTCTTGTCGATCGGCAATGAAACTAGACTCCAAGTATGATTTTGCTCCAAGGCTTTCATCTCTTCTATCATGGCAGTACGCCATTCAGGATGAGAGAGTGCTTCTCTGACAGTTTTAGGAAGGGGGACAGAATCTGGAGAAGAGGTGAGTGCACAAGCAGTAGACGACAAATGTTCATAAGAGACACAATTAGAAACAGGGTAGGTGCAGGATCGCTTACCTTTACGCAAAGCAATGGGTAGATCATCAGCATGATTAGGATCCAACGACGGAGTGCTTGACTCAGGGCGTGAGACTGGTGTAGGGGTAGGTGGTTGATCAGTCAAAGTGGCAGGAAGAGATTCAGGGATAACTGAAGGTGTAAATGGTTTTTTTCTGCGGGAGTAAACCTGAATGATGGGAGGCACACCAGTGGAGGGCGTTGTAGCACTAGAGGTAGTGTAAAATAAAATGTCACCAGAAGCCTCCCCCTCATTTACAGAATCTGTAGGTGAAGAAAAAGGAACATGCTCATGGAAACTCACATCGATGGAGACAAGATATCGACCAAGACTTGGACAATAACAACGGTATCCCTTTTGAATTCGGGAGTACCCCAAAAAGATGCACTTCAAGGATTTTGGATCTAGCTTAGTGACAGATGGACGAACATCCCTTACAAAACATGTACACCCAAAGATCTTTGGTGGGACTGGAAAAATAGGTTTATCAGGGAAGAGAATATGAAATGGTGGCTGGCCACCAAGGACACTCGATGGAAGGCGATTAATCAAGAAACATGCCGTGGCAATGGCATCAGCCCAAAACATCTTGGACACTTTTGATTGAAACAAGAGTGCCCGTGCAGTTTCAAGCAGATGTCGATTTTTGCGTTCAGCTACTCCATTTTGGGCTGGAGTATCCACACACGAAGTTTGGTGGAGAATGCCACGGTCACGCATGTAGGCTTGGAAGGGACTGGAAAGATATTCTTTAGCATTATCACCACGCATAATTTTAAGAGGCATATTAAATTGGGTTTGGATTTCAGCACAAAACGAACGAAAGTGAGAAAATAACTCAGAACGAGATTTCATTAAATAGAGCCAAGTCATACGTGAATAGTCATCAACAAAAGTAACAAAGTACCGGAATCCGGGTTTTGACACAACCGAGCAAGGACCCCAAACGTCAGAATGAACCAACTCAAAAGGAGCACTTACCCGTAGATTTATTCTAGGACTCAAACTAACACGATGGTGTTTAGCAAAACTACATGATTCACATTCTAAAACAGAGAGATGTTGAAATTGAGGACAAATTTTCTTTAACAGGGACAAGGATGGATGACCAAGACGATAATGAATCTCAAGAGGTGACTCAATCCCAACACAAGCAGCTGCTTTAGGAATGGAAGTGTTGAGAAGATACAGGCCATTAGTCTCACGTCCTTCACCAATAATCTTCTTCGTCGTAAGATCCTGAAACACACAATGGTCAGAAAAGAATGTGACAAAGCAATTAAGATCACGAGTAAGTCTACTAAGAGACAACAGA